CCCGCCCCCCCCCCCCCCGGGAGGAAAAGCGGCGGCATCCGAAAACGATCACGACTGGCGTGAAAAAAAATCAAGCGACGGCTGGATGTATAGGATGTATATCCTAAATCCTCGGAGCAGCCAGCACGCAGGAGGAGCTGCGGTGAACTCTACGCGATCGCTTACTCATCAGCAAATTCCCGAAGAGATAATTCATCCAGAGAAAAAAAAAACATTTACAGGGAAGCTGGCGTAAGATTCTCAGCCCTCGCCGAGCCCTTCCCGGCCGATTTCCTCGCCTCTCCTCTGCTCGCGTGCTCCGAGGCCGCAGCACCTCTGGGCATGAGGTGCTTGGATGTTCCTGCGGATAACGAGCGGTTCCGAGGGGGGTTTTTAGTTAGCACAATTAATTAATTGTTGTCAGATGTTTGGAATTTACTGCCCCTGTCCTAAAGCCATGAAAATCTTAACGCTACATATACAAGCCCAAAGCATTTCCTAGGCAGGGGGTCTCTACCTGCACTTAATGCAAGGATTTTGACCCGGAACGCAAATATTTGGTGTGTAAGGACCCCGTTCCGTCGCAGCCATCGAGCCCCAAACGCTCCCGAGAAGCCGGATGAGCTCTGACGGCAACCTGGGCTCGCACCAGCCGTTTCCCGAGGAATCGCTCCTCGGCCAGACCTTTGAAAGGGCAGGCAAAGCTCAGAGTCCAAGGGAAGGGCTGTGCTACAATTAAGCCCTTGCCAGAAGGTAGAAAGCTCAGCAAAAACAACGCAGGGGGAGGAGGATCTGAAACGCACAACGTCCTCATGAATCAACTTGAAAAGCGGTTGTTGAAGGGATAAAAATTTATCTCTGCGTGGGGAAGGTGGGTTCAGTGATGAGACCAAACTGGGAGGAGCGGCCGATCCGCTGGGAGGCTGCGCTGCCGTCCAGCGGGACCTGGCCAGGCCGGAGCGTTGGGCGCAGAGGAACCTGATGAGGTTCCACCAGGGCCAAGTGTTGGGGGCTGCCCCTGGGGAGGTTGGACCCCAGGCACCAGTCCAGGCTGGGGGCTGCCCTGCTGGGAAGCAGCTCTGCCCAGAGGGACCTGGGGGTCCTGCTGGCCGACAAGGTGGCCATGAGCCAGCAGGGTGCCCTGGTGGCCAAGAAGGTCAAGGGCGCATCAAGAGGAGCGTGGCCAGCAGGGCGAGGGAGGTTCTCCTCCCCCTCTGCTCTGCCCCAATGAGACCCCACCTGGAGCTCTGCGCCCAGTGCTGGGCTCCCCAGGTCAAGGAGGAGGAGGAGCTACTGGGGAGAGCCCAGAGGAGGGCAACCAAGCTGATGGGGGGCCTGGGGCATCTCCCCTAGGAGGAAAGGCTGAGGGAGCTGGGCTTGTTCAGCCTGGAGAAGAGCAGGCTGAGAGGGGATCTCATCACCACCTACAACTCTCTCAAGGGTGGGGGGCACGGGGACGCAGCCAGACTCTTCCCAGTGGTGCCCAGCGCCAGGCCAAGGGGCCATGGGCACAGCCTGAAGCAGAAGAGGTTCCAGGTGAACGGGAGGAAGAACTTCTTGCCTGGGAGGGTGCCCGAGCCCTGGCCCAGGCTGCCCAGGGGGGCTGTGGAGTCTCCTTCTCTGGAGATCTTCAACCCCCGCCTGGGCGCTGTCCTGTGCCCCCTGCTCTGGGTGACCCTGCTTGGGTGGGGGGGTGGCACTGGGTGAGCTCTGAGGCCCCTTCCAACCCTGGCCAGGCTGGGATTCTGGGATTCCTTCCAACCCAACCTTCAGGAACACTCGGGTGACCTCACTCAGGCCGTGCCCCAATTACACCAGAAGGAAATTAATTACCAATTATTCTTTCATGCCGACAGCTGACTTTTTTGCCCCTCCCCTCGTTAATAATCAGGGTGGAAAAACCAACAGGTACAAGATAAGCAGTGCAGAACTCAAATTCCACTCACTGTTCCCCTGCTGGAAATTCCGCAGATGTTTTTCCATCGATACCGAGGCTTCCAGAGTGAGCCAAAGCGGACGGGAGGAGCCACCATCCCTGCAGATCCGGAGGTGAAGAGTCTCCTCCTGAAAAACCAGCTGGGAAGCAGCGCATTTAACCACACAACCTGCGCCCCGCCACGGCGCTTTTTCCTCAAATGCCTGTTTTCAGCCAATATACGGGCGTGTTGGAGCAGTACGGAGAGCGGGAAGGAAATAAAGCGGGAAGGGGAAGGTGTAAGGAAGGTCCAACTCCTCACAGCACAAATAAGGGGAGGTTTTCTCTGTTTTTATAAAGCTCACCGAGACCTCACCGCTTTCAGGACCCAAGATTTAAGGTTAAACGCAGCCTACCCCGATGAAAAAAAAAAAAAAATCTCAATTTTCTGAAGTAAACCTGAAATCAAAGGTATTTCCCCACAACGCTTTCCTGAAACCCCCACCCCGATTAAAACACCCATCCCCAAACGCAATAAAACGCCAGCGGAGCGCAGGTTTTCACGAAGCCAAGCCCGGTTGTTTTCAAATCAGGATGGGAGCAGCTCATTAAAATCCATCTCAGAGGGTTTTTAAACAGAGAAAAAAAAAACCAACTTGGAAATCACCACAAAACTGCTGAGCAAGGAGAGGGAAAAAACCAAACCAGCAGCTGTAAAAGGAGGCGAGAGAATCGAGGGTCTTTTTTTTTTTTTTTCTTGGCACGGGCTAAATTTGAACAGACGATGGCGGCTAGCTCCACGCCCGACTGCCTTCAGAGCAAAAAAAATGTGTGAAGATTACGCTTCCGAGGCGGGTTTCTAACTCCACACCCCACTTCATCTCTTACAGCCTTTGGAATCGTCCCCCTCAAGAGCCACCAGCATCCTCCGAGGCACCCGGTTCGTTCCCGCAGCGCGCTAACGGCGCCCAGCCGTAATTACGGCCGCTCTGAGTTCATAAAGAGGCATCAAAGTGAGAGCTGGGCATGGGACTTAGTACTTTCAACTCCCCCAAAGTGGTTAAAAATCCCATCAAACCCATGGAAAAGGTGGGAGCAAGCAGCGGCCGCCACCCTCGCCACCCAACCCCTCGCAAGGTTGAACTCAGGATCGAGCCGTACCGGTGTAAGAGGGAGCGAGCCAAACTCGTTACAGCCCCGATGAGGTATTTAGCGACTCAGGGTATTAATTATGTTCAAGAAAAGAATCTTCCAGGACTTGTTTGAGCCGTCTGGCCGCAGGAAAGGACTTGTTGGAGCCGTCCGGCTGCAGGAAAGGGGTTCAGCGCTCGGGAAGGCGAGCGGGCGATGCCAGGATAAACAGTTCATGACCTGAGCTTGGCTTTTCCACGGGTAATAAATCCCCCCGGCACGCAGGGGGCGAAGCATTCCCTCTCCTGGAGCTCGCCTCCTCCATCTCTCCGTCCCCTTAGCTCGCTGAAGGCTTCACGGACGGGGTTTGGATCCGTTAAGTCGCTGTTGCCACCAAGGAGCTGGGCTGGAGGAAGACCAACGTCTTCCAAGCGCTTTGTCTTCACGTGAACGCTTCCATCTCCCCTTTCTGCTTCCACCTCCCCTTTCTGCTTCCACCTCCCCTTTCTGCCCGTTGCCAGCGGCGGGGGGTGCAGGAAAGTTCTCTGGTAGGAACGATGGACACCAAGCTGGAGGTTTGCAAGGCTGGAGGCGGCGTCACACCTGCGATTCGAGGCAGAGCGCGTGTCCTTATCCATCAACCCATCCGGTAGGAAAGCTCCCAGCCGGCTCTTTCCACAGCGGGAATCACCTCTGCGGTGTCAGGGAAACCAATTTCCTTAATTTCTCCCTCGTTTTAAGAAGGAAAATCCCTCCTCCGGGTGACGATTAACGGCTGACAGCTTCAACTAAGCGTTTACCGCTACCACAGGCGAGCGAGTCGGCTCTGGCGGCAGCGTTGATGAGAGGGAAGCTGAGCTGAACCCAAATAACCCAGCAGAGCACGGAGACGTGGGGTTTGTAGCCGGGTTTTAAGCCTCCAACCTCTCACGAGCTTTTCCCAGGGCACCAGAAATTAAGGCAGAGTCACAGCTCAGCTCAGGACAGTCCTTTTTTATCTCCACCCCACCAAAAACATTCACCTTGAAAAACGAAAGCATTTGACAAAACGATACGAACGTGAACACCACTTTAAAAGTTTCGCTCCGCGTTAAAAGGAAGAAGAAAACGTCAGGGGAGAATATTACGGTCACGTGGAAATGATGGAGAACCTCAACGGCGGACACAGTGGAAATTAAAACACCCTGGAAATTAAAACACCCCTCCCCACACACACACACACAGAGGGGAATAAAATTTTTGGTGTTTCCAGACAGACAGGCTAAGGGGACAAACCACATCTTTGTTAAATATAGAAAAAAACCAACCCAAAAAACCCCCAAGTTTCAATTTGAGGGGGAGAAGAGGAGCCATTTGGGTTGCCGGATGGTGAAGTAGCGCTGGTCTGCACACGTGCTCCCACAGGAAATTCTCCTAGGACAAAGCCATCTAAAAAAAAAACCAAAAAAAAAACCAAAAAACCACAAACCAAGAGACCGCACAAAACCTAGCCTAAACTGAAACCTAAACTGGAGATTTGGTAAGAAAAAAAAAAAAAAAAAGAGAAAAAATGTCCTCTATTTCCCCCCCCCAAAAAATCACTTTACAGGCAAAGGCTTCCACGGCCGAAGTGGGTTTAGTAGAACTCAAAAGATGTGCTATGAAATTCACAGATCGTTACGGTTTTAAAAAAAAAAAAAAACCAACCCCCAAATACGTCAGGTCTTTTACTCGTCAGCTTCCCCCTCCAGAGTTTACTCCGCATCCTCGTCCTCTCGCGCTGCAGTGGCTTCCTCGCTTTCTTCCTCCTCATCTTCTACCCCCGCGCCTTCCGCGGGCTGTTGCTCCTCTTCCTCAGGGAGGGACTCCTCGGCGGGCGGGGAGCTTTGCTCCTCCGCGGTCCCTGCGTCCGGCTCCGCTTCTCCTTGTGCTCGCGGTGTGGCCTTGGTCTCCGTCTCTGGCCCCGTTTCCTCTCGCTCCCCCTCGTTCTCAGCTCTTTCTGGGTTTTCTTCGGGATCCTTGTTTTCCTCCTCTTCCAGATTTTCCTCCCCTGGATTTTCTTCTGCATTTTCCTCTTCCACATTTTCCTCCTCTGGATTTTCTTCTTCGGGATTTTCCTCCTCTGGATTTTCTTCTTCCAGATTTTCCTCCTCATCCTTGTTTTCATCTGCTCCTTCCGCCGTTCCTTCCTCTACATTTCCACTGGCTCCCCCTTCTCCTTCCTCATGCTCCTCTTTTTCTTCTGGGTCATCCGTGAACGGATTCTCCCCCTGAAAAAAAAAAAGACAACAAAACATTTGTCTGCTGCCAGTTCCTCTCCAACTGCTTCAAGGAATTCCCACCAGCTACGCGCTGGCAAACCCTCCCAAGAAGCTCAGAGTTATGGTTGCGCCAAAAACGATCAAGCAAGCAGCTCCTGAAAGCCGATGCCACCTCGAGAATTCAAATCAACGCTAATATTAGCACAACGGTCAAGTCTCTGGCCAAAGTTTAAGCTGGATGCTGTGCTCATCCCAGTCTGCGCGAGGCAAGGGACGGCACGGGAAACCGAGGGACTCGATAACCAGCAACCAGGAACCCGGTATGTTATCAAAAACCTGATATATCATCAAAAAACCCTCCCCAAATCACCTCAAGGTTCAGTACCCTCAGTCAGTTTGGAGATGACACCAAGCTGGGTGGGAGCGTGGATCTGCTGGGGGGGAGGGGGGCTCTGCTGAGGGCCCTGGCCAGGCTGGATCCACGGGGGCCCTGGCCAGGCTGGATCCATGGGGGCCCTGGCCAGGCTGGATCCCTGGGCCCAGCCCAATTGGGTGAGGTTCCCCAAGGCCAAGGGGCGGGTCCTGCCCTGGGGTCACCACAACCCCACGCAAGGCTCCAGGCGTGGGGACGAGGGGCTGGAAAGCTGCCCGGCGGAAAAGGAGCCGGGGGTGTTGGTCGCCGGGGGGCTGGATAGGACCCAGTGGGGTGCCCAGGTGGCCAAGGGGGCCAGCGGCATCCGGGCTTGCCTCCGGG